TAAGGGCAATTTCCATATCCAGATTCCATCTCTAGCTCCTTAGATCTCAGTGGGCATGGAGGAGGGAGGCTGAAATCACTTTGCACTCTTGCATTCTGTGTTTATACGTGGGAAGGAGAGGGCAAAAGTGTGTGTGAGAGAGATTGCAATGATTCAGTCCCTGACCTCCCAGCTCTGGGCCTTGGAATAAAAAAAAAGCTTTAGATAGTTAAAGCTGATGGACCTGACAAACAGAAGAATGAGTTTTACAATTCTTATGAGGTTTTTCATGCCGTAGAGATATACACTGCCCCTTTCTTGAGTAACAAATTTAGGAGACAAATTTGACAGAATTTGATTCTTCAAGTTTGCATCTCAGGATTGTCAATGGTATGACTTCTGAGGGACAGAGGTTTCATTCTGACAACAGGAACTGCAAGGAATTGTTTATTTATTAAATGATTTTTACTATTAGATGTTAGGCTGCAGGCCTAAATACAAGGGGAAGTAAGCTACACTGTGGAAGCCTCTTCTGAGCAAACACTTAAAAAAAACCCACACACACACTGTGGTGCGAACATAATAGTGAACAGCTCATACTCCCACGTGTGGCGAAGAGTAAAATACTCGTGAGGCATTCTTCTTACAATTAATGAAAAGAATTTACCATTGATTCAAAGCTAAATCACATTTAAGAGAACATTTTCTTTAGTATTTTCTACCTTAATAGAAAATTAGCAATGTGTGAACTTAAAAGTTGCATCCCAAGCCCTGCATGTTTATAGGAATGTGTAGCGGTCTTGTGACCCAGTCTATGACTAGAAAAGAGGGCACTCGGTAAGTTCCTGTCCCAGCCTTTTCATGAAATTCCAACCCAATTATCAACCACACTCATGATAGCATTTTTGTAGTTCCAGATCTTTGTGGGGGAAAAAATCCATTCATGTGAAGGGGAAAAACACAAATACTCATAATCTGAGATGGTATGTGCGCACGTTACACAGTATTCTCGATTTTGGGGAGGTGGCAGGAAGGAGAACTTTACCTTTGTTCACGGACATCTTTCCAGCAATTGCATTAAGGCCAGCAAACAAGGATTTGCAGAGAAGAAAAACTGTGGAGAAGGGGGGAGGAAAGAAGGACCTAGGGCATTAATTCTGACACACACCCAATTCTAGTACAGTACATATTAAATACTTCAATAAACTAAGCTAGCTGGGAGAGAAAAAAGAACATTCTTAAAAAATGATGATGGAAATCTCCTACTTTACCCTACGCCTTAGGAAAATGGCTGTTAGTGTGGCTACAAGGGGACATGCAGTATGATGTCATCACTCTGGGCTGTCCAGAGTGCTTCAGTCCCTGGAGTGGCCAAGGGAAATCCTGGGTTTCACTGGGAGATTTAGCTGTCAGCCACCTCGTGTATTATCTAGCTGCAACCCGTATGTCAACTGTATAAGGAAGGATGGAGTTTACCATGGGAGGAGGTGGACATCCAAAGACCTCTTTCTCATCATTGTGGTGTGGACTGTTTTCAGGGAGAGCAATTCTGTTTACTTCTGGGAACAGCAGGTTAGCCTGAGTGATCCCAAGAAACCTTCCATATATTCCTTGAGTGGACAGAAGGATTTCTATTAATTTCTTTCAGGCACAATACTACTTTTAGAAGAAGTGGGGCTCCCTCACTAAAGAGACCCATGAGAACCCAACAGAGGATTCTATACATTTTTGTTCAGTAGGTCTTCTGCTGGGAGTTGTACCGTTTGTACTGTTATTTTTATTCAGATACAGGGAGAAACCTGATGTAATAACCTCTTGAAAACAGCAGCCACCCAAAAGACCATCACTATTGTTAGGAGCAGCAAGATTATTGCCTCTGGTAGTTGAGGTAGGGAGAGAGGTATTAGAAAAACAGAGTAGTGTATGCCCTGTGATCTACCTTGTTCCCTACAAGCTAGCTGGCTCCCACGTCACAGTAAGATTCACACTGCCTCTCTGAATGGCTTTTGTCTACAGAAAAGAGAGAGATGACAAATTGGCATTTGCTTCAAAAAGCTAAATATCTCAGAGCTGTAACTCGTGATTTTGATGCCTTGGACTTTGCTGGGGTCCTGTGAGATCAGCGTACATGAAGAGAGGACAGAGGAGGAAAGGAACACATGTCTCTCAGCATGTAGTGGTTCTAAATATGCTGATCCCACTTGCTATATGTTTCTTTCTACCTATGAAAGAAACATATAGCAAGTGAAATATATACCGTAGCTGGATGCTCCAGGTTCATGCCCACTATAGTTAGGGCTCTGCATGCTCATCCTGGCTGTGCATACATTCCTTTGAAATCAACAAGACATCATGAGTTGGAAGGAGGTGTTCTGACTGCATGTTATTCATAGGTTGATAAGGCTTTGAACTGAACAGAGAAAAAGCGAGACTTAAAAATAATGAAACTGACACAGTATGGATACAATCAAACTTTCAGGCCTGGTGGTGCAGCCATTTACTAAAAAAAATCTTTTTTCTGGATTTCAGTTTTATTTAACAACTATCATACATAAAAAAACAAATCTAAAGACAAACAACAAATACAACTCAATGTGTTCCCTGCTGCCATGGGGGCCATTGGAGACACTCTACTTCCTTCTTTTCACAGAGCCCTGTTCTCCTTCCAGAGATACATTGACTCCTGTGGAGGTACACAACCCTTCTCCTTTGTTAACACTAAGACTTCTGGCTAGCCCCCCCTCCCAAGTATGGTTCCTGGCTATTTATTTATTTATTATGTATTTATTTATTTAATTTATATCCCGCCTATCTGGTTGGGTGAGGACACTCTAGGCGGCTTTCAATAAAAACAATAATATAATTTTTACAACATTACAACTAGAACATAATAGAGATAGAGAACAAATAAGAAGAACAAATCGTCAAGGGTTTTCTGTTGGGAAGGCCTGCCTATACATCAGTGTTTTTAGTTGTTTCTTAAAAATGCCCAGCGAGGGAGCCGCGCAAATCTCAGGGGGTAAGTTGTTCCAAAGGCGAGGAGCCACCGTCGAGAAGGCCCGATTTCTGGTCTTTTCCTTTTGGGCCTCTCTCGGTGTTAAGCTCCTCAGCCTCACCTCCTGGCTCACGCGAGTGAGTAGAGTAGATCTTGGTGGGAGTAGGCGTTCCGCCAAGTATCAAACCTAAACCGTTTAGGGCTTTAAACGTGAGCATCAACACTTTGAAGTCGATGCGGAATCGGATGGGCAGCCAATGCAATGCTATGAAATCAAAGGCCAGGAGCCGAACTCCCCACTGTGCCTCCTGGAAAGGAGCAAACCTGTGTAGCAAGCTGTACAGGCCCAAAGCATCCGAAAGAAAAGGGACTGGCAAACCACTTCTGACTATTTTGTACCCAGAAAGCCCTGGAAAGGGTCACCTTGTTGTTGTTAACTCTTATGTGCTGTCAAGTTGGAGCCAACTCACAGTGACACTAATAGGGCTTTTAAGGTAAGTGAGCTAGTTAAGGAGGGGTTTTAGCAGTTCCACACACACACACCAGTGAGTTTCTGTGGCTGAGCAGGGATTCAAACCCAGTCCATCACTCTCCACACTAGGTGCCTTATGATAACCATGTGCTGTCCAGTCAGGCAGGACCTATGGAGACCTTTTCCAGAGTTTCCCAGGTAAAGAATACAGAGAAGAGGTTTCCCTTTCTCCTCTTCTGGGGGTCCCCTGGGCATTAACTTAACTAGCATCATGTAATTGTTTCAACCTCCACAGCTTCACAGTCCTTGCGGTGTCGGAGTAGCTGCTTCGCTCGCCAAAAGCAGCGTCAACCTGCTTGGTGGGAAAGGTGAGCGCCCACCGTTTCCTCGCTCCTTTCAGGGGAGAGCGACGAGCCAGGGCGCCAAGACAGAAGCCTTCGGGCCAGAGGCTCCATTCGAGCAGAAGCAGCCTTCCCCTTCCCAGCCTTCTTTAATTCTTGCCCCCACGGTCTCCACCAGCGGCAGCCATCGCCCGGCCCCCTTGTCACTCATCTCCCCCCCGCCACGCCTACCTATCGTCCCGTCCGCCAATGAAGAGACCCGCTCCCGTCCTCCTGGTGGCGGCGGCGGCTGCGGAGCTGGTCTCGGTTGGGCTTTTGCAACTCCTTTTCGTGGCGATACGCTTTGGAAATATTCCTGCATATTTCTCGAGCCGAGATTCCTCCTGGGCCAATAGGAGCGCGGCAGGACGGCCCTCTCATTAGCATACACACCTCGCTGTTTTGCATATCTCTGCCGCAGGAGCCAGCGCTGGGTTTTGGGTGCGTGAAGCTCACGCGCGCAGTCCCCGTATTGTGTGCAACCCTAGAAGGCGAAAGCAGGCAGGCGAGCGAGCGAAGGAGGCAGGCAAGCTGACTGACTGACTGACTGACTGACCGGCCGGCCGGCTCCTAGCAAGCGAAGCGGCGGCGAAGGCGAGCATGGCTGAAGGGTTAACTTCGTAGGCTGTTGGCGGCGGCGGCGGCGGCGGCGTCGCAAGGGGAGCGAGCGAGCGAGCTTGGAGCCTGCAATGGCAGCGCCGAGTGGGGCACGTTCTTACCTGCTTGCCTGAGATGATTGACGACGGGCGGCTGCCTCTCCATGGAGCTCGAAGGACGGGAAGCCGCTGCTGAAACGTCGGCTCGCCTTGCGGAGGGATTCTGTTGAGAGGAGAGGAGAGGAGAGGAGAGGTCCTTCTCCGAGGCGAGGTTTGTTGGTCACGCTTCCATCACCGAAGAACCATTTTTTCTTCTCCATATGTACAGTATTTACAGCCGGCAAGGAGAAGGAGAAGGAGGAGAAGGGCTCCGCTCCGCCGCAGGGCCCTCCGCAGAGCAAGTGGTGGAGCGCGGGACCCGCCGGCTAATGATCATTTTAGTACTTATTAACCTAATTAGAAGACCGCAATCCCTTGCTTGCTCCCCTTCAGCACAAAAGCAGCCCACAGTGAGAGGCAGATTCCGAAGACAGATGCCAAGCCTGCAGTCAAAGGAAGAGGCATCGGCTCCAGGTGTGTGTGTGTGTGTGTGTGGAGGGGGTGCCTCCTCGCGATGCGTTGCCTGGCGCTGCTCGGCTTCTTCGCCTGGGGTTTCGGCAGCTTGGCTGGGCCCAGCGGAGGCGCTTCCCCTCCTCCCTGCCCGGCTTCCTGCAGCTGCGATGGGGACGGGGGAGTCGACTGCTCCGGGAGAGGGCTGACGGCCGTGCCCGAGGGACTCAGCGCCTTCACCCACTCGCTGTAAGTACGGCCGGGGCCGGCGAGAGGGCTGCTCGGTGCCCCTCGCTACCTTGCCAAACAGGTTGTGTGTGATTTTTTTTTACAGCCAGGCTCGAGCAACGGAGAGGGCGGGCGGGCGGGCGAGAGAGAGCGCCTCTTTTTACCCCCCTCTTTCATTCGGGGTCTAGCCGCCCTGCTTACCTGTGTGCAGGGATCAACACCCCACCCCCGCCTCGCACCAGGAATCCAGATCGCCGGAACGGCTGGGCTTAGCTGGGAATCAAAACCCACTGAATTCAGGAGGATTGATTTCCATGTAAATCTGCCTGCCATCGGGCTGCATGCGCGATTTAGGGTCCGTCGTTACAAGTCGTTCCTGTTGGGGTTTATTGGAACGTAAGCCCCATCGGGTTCGAAGGGAGGGCGTTTAACGCCAAGAAAATTATAGGTCGGAACCCTGCCAAAGCTGAGTAACTGTGGTCAGGACGCCACTTGCTTGGGACTTAACGATTCTCGTTGAAACTCTGTGAGCAGTTCTGTAATAAGACTTGCTAAAGATCTCCCCATGCCTTTTCCATGGGGGGAAGTGGGAATTGCAGGTTAAGAACTCTGGGTTGGGGGCTACAAGCAGGTACTATTTCGCTAACTTTGGATTCATGGATGTCGAGTTGAACAAGGAAGTTACTTTGTGTATCTAAGGTTAGGCGTGAGTTCAATCTTCCACATCTTGATAGGAACTTGAAGTAATTGTGCATTACATTCGAGTGCCAGTTCCATTCAAACCGCCCAGACTGTAGAAAGATTATTGAGCCAAACTGTGGAGGTGCCCCTTTTTCCTTTTTGAGTCTGGTTTTGAGTGGAGGTGGGGGCCCTCTCATCTCGATGTTGAATGCCAGAGATCCCAGTTACAAGTTTTTTGGAGAGAATAATTCTGAAGAAATAAACGAGGAGGGTTAAACGCAGAGTTTGTGTGCTCAATAGCTGACAAACAAAACCACACTGTGCTGAATGTACAGGTTTGCTTCCAGTCATCGAGGTTTGCTTATGGTAAAGTCAATACAGAAATATTTAGGTGCCTCCATATTTGGTTGTGTTGACTAATGACACCTGAATGCTTGTCTAATCAGTTAATCCAGACAGCCATTACTGAGGCTTGGTCTGAAAGCCTTATGTTTGAAAGTGAGTTCAGCGAAATTAAGATAGCAGGAGAATGAACCCGAGCATTTTGTCATAATAAAGACAAAATGCCACAGGAAAGAATGAAAGGTGTGTACTGCATCTAGGATTTCAAGGGTGTGGTGTTACAAGGTGTGTGCATGTGTGTGCAGTTTAATTATACCCGCTGCTGAACAGGCAGACTTTCCTTAAAGCTCTGAGGAATTTCTTTCAAACTGTTCTGCTTTCAATATTAATAGCAGAGAGCTTACTTGAGGCTTAAAGAATCTGGTATTGAAAATGAAGGCACAAAACATCCAGGGAATAGTGATGCCAAGGTGCTGCTGTGTTTCAAAGTTAGTTGAAAGGTTTATACAGAATATGTCAGCTGAGGAGATCTTAAACAAGCAGTTCAGTTATTAATTTTGAAATGGATTATGCAGCACTTTTTGCTTGAAGAGCCAGAGAAAGTGGTTAGAGTTACATAGCAGTCAGATATAAAGCAGAAGAAGATAAGATGGTGTGCAAAAACAGAATTGTGAGTGTAATGCTGATGTAAGATAACTAAGGAAGGGTAATGTGATGTTTTAAAAAATGATTGCTTTTTGTTTGAAGCAAGTGTTAAGGGGGCAGATGGGTTTGTGTGTGTCTGTTTAGATAGCTTTTAATTTTCACAGTTTTTCTATTCAGCCACTGACTAGTATTCCCATGAGGTGGAAAAAAAACCCACACAAGCCCAAGACTCCTCTTGAGGTAACATACTTAAGTAGGCTCATGTACAACCTAAACACATTTTCAGTCAGAAATTGAGGAGATGTCTGGATTTCTGTAACCTGTCTGATGTACAGTATTTGTGATTGAAAGAGAAAACATTCACTTTTACTTTTATTTATTTTGATTATTTATAATCTGCCTCCCTTGGCAATATTGCTCAAAAGTGGAATATCCTGTAATATAACATTATATTCATTATAACATGACACAACATTATAATAACATTTGTAGAATTAAAACAACCTGATGTTACATTGACATATACAATTCAGTTGATATATAGCTGCCCCCTAATCCTTAGCAGTAGAGATGGGATATTCATATTAATCTCCTGAGAGAGATGAATACAAATATTGTCACCACAGGTGACTGGACCAATTGGACCCTCCCCCCAGAACCTAGCCGTCCACTTACTGCTTACAGCGGTGTGTGTGTGTGGCCCGTCATTGTTCCTGGTGCACCAGTCATGGAAGTAGGCTGGATGGGGCTTCCCTGTGCTGCTGACCAATCTGGCGAGGAGATGGGATGATGAGTGTCTCTGCTTAGCTGCTGAGTGGAGCAGAAAACGAATCCCCCAGGAGACGAATATGAATATCCCATCTCTAGTCAGCAATAAAATGTTATTGGAGCAGATCCAAAACCAAATACATGAAAACGCTTTCTGAAATTATTGGTGTTTTTAAAAAACTATTTTGGACATTGCAACTAAGATGCAGTCTGTAAATATTTTGGTTGGAGGTCTGCAAGGCAGGAACGGTAGCTGAGAAGGCCCTGTTCATAGTTCCTGTTAGTCTCTAACCCCTATCAAAAGAGGTCTGACAAACAGGGCCTCTGGTCTGTAGTTTAGTTCTATGCAGAGTACTTAAGGCATTTAAGTGTTTCATGATCTTACACAGTAGTCTTAATTTAGAGGGACAGTGTCTTGAACAGTTGGCATTTGACTGTTTCCACAAACGTGATAGGTGTTATAAAAGGGTATGAAGATGGGTGTGCCCCACCTCCAGCCAGTGTTTATTATTTGTTTTGTTTATTTAAATATTTCTACTCAACCTTTCTCCTTAAAAAGGACCCAAAGCAGCTTACATTATGAAAAAGACAATAGTCAAAGCTAAAAAATGAGTATACAAATACAAAAAGGAATCAAACAAAATTTTGTTATTGTTGTTTAGTTAAGTCGTGTCCAACTCTTCCTTACCCCATGGACCAGAACACGCCAGGCCCTCCTATCTTTCACTGTCTCCCGGAGTTTGGTCAAATGATCAAACAAATACCACCACTAAAAATGGTGAACAAAAGCAGCACAGAAAACACACTCAAAGCAGTAAGGCACAGCAGTCCTACCAGGTCACCAGTCATTGAGGGAAAGCTTTCCAGAGGAGAAAGGTCTTTGCTTGTAGAAGGACTGCAATGATAGGGCCAGCCTGGTCTCCTATGGGAGGAGTTCCTAAGTCTGGGAGCAGCAACAGAGAAGGCCCTCTCTTGCGTATTCGCGAAGGCTTTCACGGCCGGGATTTAATGGTTGTTCTGGGTTTTTCGGGCTCTTTGGCCGTGTTCAGGCAGAGTACAGGTTGCTGTCCTCTGAAGATGCCAGCCACAGACTGGCGAAACACCAGGAAGAACAACCTTCAGAACACTGCCAAAGAGTCCGAAAAACCCAGAACAACCCTCTCTTGTGTCTCCACCAGATGTACCTGAGAATGTGGTGGGACTGAGAAAAATACCTCCCCTAATGATCTTAACATTCAGGCAGGCTCATAAAGGGAGATTTAATCCTTGAGATAGCTTGGAGTCAAGCCATTTAGGGCTTTATAGCTTTGAACCAGCACTTTGAATTCTGACCCAAAACAGATTGGAAGCCAATGGAGCTGCTCTAATGGGGGTGGCAATCATGTGATCCCCTTGACACAAGCCCTAGCCAGCAATCTGATTGTTGTGTTTTGGACCTGTTGAAGTTTTTGAGTACCACCATTCAACCCTGTCATAAAACAGCCCTGACAGTTGCCTTGTATTTGGATGAGAAATGATTAACTGATGAAAAACTAGTCAGCTTTTGGGATTTTCCCTTGCTTGGTGTCACGTTGTTAATGGCTTGGGCCATGGCTACCTGTAGGACTGCCTCCTTCCATATGAACCTACCTGGCAGTTAAGATCTAGCCAGGGGGCCCTTTTGAAAGAGCCGTCCCTTAAGGAGGTAAGAGGGATGGCTTGTAGACAAAGGGCCTTTTTGACAGCTTCCCCCAGACTATGGAATGCCCTCCCGACTGAGATTCGTCTGGTGCAGACGCTGATGACATTTCGGCACCAGGTCAAAACCTTCCTGTTCCAGAAGGCTTTTAATTGAAATAATATCAACTGTGGGTCCTGATGGCAATTTTTAGAGTATCTATTTTAATTGTTTTATCTTTTTGTTGTATTTTTATTGCATTTTAGTTGTTGTAAGCCGCCCAGAGACCTTTGGGTAGAGTGGGCGGCATGTAAGTTAAATAAATAAATAAAATAATGGTAGTGAGTAGAGATGGGAATGATTCACCATTTTGGCGAGTCATGCCAATTCGTGAGTCGTCAAAAGCTGATGACTCATGAAGCACAAAATTGCCCCCATTAAGCGACGAATAAGAAAATTATTCATTGATTCATAGGGGGTTATTTAAAAAACCACACACTGGACCCCCACTGCCACCCCCTGGTACCGCTGCGCCACCCCCCACCACTGACACCCCCTTACTGTAATCGCCACCACCAAGGTCTCCACCTGGCCTCTGCTGCCACATGGTATAAAAAGGGAGACTGGCTGCCCCTTGCAAAGATGGCATCTGACGTTTCCCTACCCTAAATGAAGCCGCAGCTGTCATGTTTGCAAAGGGCAGCCAATATCCCTTTTTACATACTGTGGCTGCAGAGGCCAGATGGAGAACTCGACGATGGCAGTGACAATTACGGCAAGGGGGTGTTGGCGGGGGTGGGGGGCTAAGGTATGGAGAGGAAGGTGGGGGTAAGCTGTGGGGGTGGGTGGCTGCCTATTGGTCCGCCAGTTAGCTGATCAGCAGCTGGTAGGCAGAATGGTGTTGTTTTTTAAAAAAATTACAAAGGAC